GAGGAGGGGGAAGAGGAGGACGGACATGATGACGAGGAGGAGCAGGAGGTGGAGGAGGAGGAGGAGGACGAGGAGGATGATGATGAGGAGGGAGATGAGGACGAAGAGGAGGATGCGGAGGCGGAGGATGACCAGGAGGAGGACGACTAGGCGGATTATGACGACGAGGGGGATGAGGAAGAGGAGGCGGAGGATGAGGCGGAGGAGGAGGCGGAGGACGAGGAGGAGGAGGAGGAGGAGGAGGAGGACGAGGAGGAGGATGAGGATGAGGAGGAGGAGTATGGGGACGGATGAAGAGGAGGTGGAGGAAGAGGAGGAGGAGGAGGAGGAGGAGGAGGAGGAGGAGAGGAGGAGGAGGAGGAGGATGAGGATGAGGAGGATGTTGCGGAGGAACTGGACGAGGCGGAGGAGGAGGATGATGAGAAGGAGGAGGGAGGGAAGGGGAGGAGGATGAGGAGGAGGAGGAGGATGAGGCGAAGGATGAGGAGGATGAGGAGGAGGAGGAGGAGGAGGAGGAAGCGCAGCAGGATGATGCTGCTGTTGATGCTGATGACGATGCTGATGCTGCTGATGATGGTGCTGCTGCGGCTGCTGATGATGCTGATGATGCTGATGATGATGACGATGCTGATGATGCTGATGATGCTGAAGCTGATGATGATGCTGGTGATGCTGATGCTGATGTTGATGCGTCTGACGGTGCGACTGCTGCTGATGATGACGACGATGACGATGATGCTACTGATGCTGATGCTGATGATGCTGAGGTTGATGCTGATGCTGCTGTTGATGCTGATGATGCTGATGTTCACGAGGATGCTGATGCTGATGATGGTGGCGATGCCGATACTGATGTTGATGACGATGTTGATGGTGACGATGATGATCATGCGGGGCGGATGCTGACGAGGAGACTGAGGCGGGAGGAGGCTGAGGAGAGTAGGATGAAGGGGATGATTATGAGGATGAGGACGATGACGATGACGATGATGATGCTGATGCTGATGATGAGGACGATGCTTATGATGATGATGCTGATACTGCAGATGAAGATGATGCTGCTGCTGATGATGTTGATGATGAGTATGACGATGATGATGATGCTGATGATGATGCTGATGGTGATGTTGATGCCGATGACGATGCTGATGATGATGCGACTGCTGATGATGATGAGTATGATGATGATGCTGTTGATGAGGCTGATGCTGATGCTGATGCTGCTGCTGCTGATGATGATGATGATGATGATGCTGATGCTGATGCTGATGCTGATGATGATGATGATGATGATGCTGATGCTGATGCTGATGATGATGATGATGATGATGATACTGATGATGATGACGATGATGATGCTGCTGCTGATGATGATGATGATGATGATGATGATGATGATGATGATGATGATGATGCTGATGATGATGATGATGATGATGATGATGATGATGATGATGATGATGATGATGATGATGGTGGTGAGGGGGAGGGGGAGGGAGGGGAGGAGGAGGAGGAGGAGGAGGAGGATAATGATGAGCATGATGAGGAGGATGAGGAAGAGGAATGGGAGGAGGACGAGGGGAGGAGGAGGAGGAGGAGGAGGAGGAGGAGGAGGAGGAGGAGGAGGAGGAGGAGGAGGAGGAGGAGGAGGAGGAGGAGGAGGAGCGGAGGAGGTGGAGGTTGAGGCGGAGGCGGAGGAGGAGGAGGAGGAGGAGGATGATGATGAGGAGGATGATGAGGAGGATGGGTAGGAGGAGGAGGAGGAGGAGGAGGAGGAGGATGAGGAGGATGAGGATGATGAGGAGGAGGCGGAGGAGGAGGAGGAGCAGGGGAGAGGGGATTGGGGGGGGAGGGGGAGTAGGAGGAGGAGTAGGAGGAGGAGGAGGAGGAGGAGGAGGAAGAGGAGGAGGAGCATGGACATGAACATGACCATATGACTACGTCAATGAATCCACCACGTCACCTGAATTCAGTCTTGCGTCGGGTGGCCAGTTCGGCCTTGCTCAAGACCTTCGGCCAGAGCCCCTGGGAGATTCGACGCACATACTCTGCCCTGGTGGGTGTCAGTCGAGGCACACACTCTCTACCACGGGCCAGCAGCTGCTGGGAACCGAAGCTTCCGCAACCCATACAATACCACAATCGCAGTTCACCATGCCACTGCATACGACGACTCAGATGAACAACGCACCCGCTATGTGCAACGGGGCTAGCGGGGGCTTCTTATACATGGTACCGTTGTAATTCTCGGGGGAGAAGCAGGCCGTCCTGAGCCACGCAGTCTTCGTGGCCTTCGAAGCCGAGCCTCCGCACCTGGTGCATCTACACCCAGTGCTGTCCACGCTGTGGGCCGAAACAAACAGAAGGGCGAGAGAGGCAGCAGCAGGGGGCGGGGGCAGGGCGGGGACGGGGGGACGTTTTTTCCACAGGCTCACTCTGCAGCTTATCCTCGGCTGCAACGGCGTCCAGAGTGGCGCGGAGACTGCGCATGCGCACGAGCCTGGCCGTCCTTTCTTTCATGAGCACAGCATGGCGGATTGCTTCTGACAGGCGAGCCTCGATCACCGCTTGCCCTGCAATTTCATCAGCAATGAGACTACTTGCTACCATCCACATCGGGGCTTTACCCTCCACGATGTCCCGAGCAGACAGGTGCGAGTTCGTGAAGAAGACGGACATGGAATCGTGCACTCGCCTTTTCATGAGAAGTCCTAGAAGCACCCACAGGTCGGCGTCCTCACCTGCTGGCTCCTCGCACCTTCTATCATAAGAGCCTGCAACAACGGGTTCGCAATCTGACATGCAACCAATGGATCCTATGGTGATCCAAACTGCTAAAACCAAAGCGCGCAGCTCGCCCCGAGCAACTACCTGCCTGGGTCCTGGGAGCGGGCCTCGCACAGTCGAGGCGAGCTGCGATGTCGGCTCCAGCGCACGAAGGAAAACAATGGCAACTCCAACTCTCCGAAACAATCTGCCACGTGTGTCGGGGCCTCCACTGGAGTCACCAAAAGCAAGTCGAATGGGGGGGCAGGAGGAGGAGGAGGCGGAGGAGGAGGAGGAGAAGGCGGAGGAGGAGGAGGAGGAACGGGGAGTCTCTTTGGAGTGGTGGTGGTGGCGGTCGAAAGGCGTCCTCGCTGACTCGCTGCATAGGGGCGGGGTTCGTGCCTGGGTTTTGGTGTATGAGCACATCGACGAGCATCAGAACGAGGGTGACGATGACGATGATGATGATGCTGTTGTTGATGATGCTGATGATAATGATGATAATGGCTGATGACGACGATGGTGCTGATGACGAGGAGGGGGGACTAGTATGAGGAGAAGGGATGACGCGTGTGAGGAGGAATGAGGATGATCAACACGAGGAGAAGCAGGACGATAATCATGACGAAAAGGTGCGGAGGATCAGGGCGATGATGGAGGAGGATCATGAATGAGGGGGTGAATGCAGAAAAGGACCTCGCACTGAGGTGTTGAGGTGGTTTAGGCTTGTCCCGCTCCGATCCTTCCATCTCCGCAGCAGGTTGTACAGCATCTGCCACTCTGGACTCCAATGTGGCCAGGTGGAGCGCCAGTGTGTCCGCGTGTGGCACTGCTCGCATGGCAACTGCCTGAAGCGCGACATTCGTTCGGACAAGAAGCCTGGTCAAGTCAGGCGAGGTATTTGACCTCTCATGTGCTTCTCTTGACTCTCGGGCAGACGCCATTGTGGCCGAAACTGCACTGAGCTAAAGCCGTCCTCTGAAGTGAAGGATGGAACTGGGGCTTAATCGAAAACTAGAGCCCAGGCAAAGCTGCCTCCTGTCCAAGCCAAATTGAGCCAGGCTGAGCTAAGCCAAGCTGAGGGCCCGAAGTAAGCGGAACAGGGATCAGCTGCGACAGTCACAGCCACACGCAACTAATCTTAGCCAGGCTGATGGCATCGCTGGAAGAGTCGGTATTTGCATCGCTGCAGGATTCGCTGCAACATTAGCTACTACGATCGCATCAGGAACCGTTATGCCAATCGCCACAGGAGTCACAGCCCCCATCCATTAGGAGAAAGGCCCAGGTCTAGCTCGGCAGTGCAGTTCGTGGCTCGCGGGTAGGCACGCCCCTTGCTAGCGAATCAGCACTTGCGAGTTCCCCTGACGGTGCCTGCGCCAAGGGCTCTTCGATGTTTCCAGGCTTTTGCGCGGCGCCCGCCTTGCGCCCACCCCGCGCCCATTTCAGAGAAGGAGAAGGCGCCCTTCTCATGCCGTGGGCCCCCAGGAGGTCTGGACCCCTCGCCGGGGACCGTCCTTCCACCCCGGAGCGCTTTTTCCTGGCGGTACTGGTGCCCGGCGAGGGCCCCCTGGGAGGCCGAGCGTGGCGAGGCACCTCGTCCAGTGTGATTCTCTCTCTGCTCTCACGCCTGCCCCCTTCTGCTCGCTGGCGCTCGTTTTTCTGTAGTTTCTGGGAGGTTTCTGTGCGTGGAGGGGTGCGGGCGGGGGGGTGCGCGGCAGGGCCCGAAGGGAACCTTGGGCTTGACGCAAGTCGGGACGCGCTTGCGCGCCTTTTCGGTCCAGCGCTGGCTGCAGAGGAGGCGGATAAGCGAGCATTTTCTTTGGGTGGAGGGCAAAGGGTGAAATCTGAAATGCCGTTTCGATGGATTTTCGAGGCTCGAATCTGCAAAAGGTGAACCACAAGACGGATTGATTTTCGAGGTGCAAAAGCCCATATGGATTTCACCATGAGGCCTCCACCCCAAGAAAATGCTCAGGATAGGGGGGGGCGGCGAAGTACCGTGCAAGTAAACTTGCCAGAATCTAGACAAACAAATACCCTCCCGACGCGCTCCACCTCCTCCTCCTCCTCCTTACTCCTCGTCCTCCTCCTCCTCCTCCTTACTCCTCGTCCTCCTCCTCCTCCTCCTCCTCCTCCTCCTCCTCCTCCTCCTCCTCCTCCTCCTCTCCCGACGCGCTCCACCAGGGGGCGCGCCCGTTGCGCGCGTGGCGCGCGGCGCGCGCGCGCCGCGCATGGCGCTCCTCGCCTCGGCGCTGCGAGCAGGCGATGCCTTTGGCCGCCGCCCTCCCCGGGGAGGTCTCTCGCCGCCGTGCCCGCCCTCGGTTCCGCTCGAAGCTGGGCCTCCCAGATGGTTCTGAGCATGTTGGGTCCCAGACCCCCTCGCATCGTGAACAGAATCATGACGGGCGTTTTTTGTTTTTGTTTTTTGTTCTGTTGTTGTTGCTGCTGTTTCCGGCCTCCAGGTGCCTTTGCCAGTCCCCAGGGCGGTGAACAAATTTCTCGGGATGAAAACGCGATGCCGGGGAATGGGTGGAGACCTCACGGGGTCGACGTTGTGAAGAAAATCGTAACGTCGGGGGTCTGTGGTCGGAGGATCGCGCCGCGTCGCCGATGCATTGTCGATGCGGTCCGCTCACGCTGACGTCGCCGATGCGATGCATCGGCCATGCGGCGCGATCCTCCGACCCCATCTATTCGGACCGTGACTGGGAGGTCTCTGTAGAACCAGGGTGTCTTGAAGGGGTGCTCCGCTTCTGCGTTGTGGGATCTCTGGGTACATGCGCCGTTTAAGTGTGTCGTGGCAGGGGAGGTCCTTCCACGGGCCCATCTTGGGCCAGGTCCTGATGCATACCTGCGAATGGAGGGAATTTCCTTGGGTTTTCAGATGGGCGTCGCGCGGGGCAGTTTGGACTCGGCGCGCGCGTAAAGTGACGCGCGTTCACGTCTTTGGCATATGTGCCATATTTGTTCAACTGTCGGTGTCCGCCATGGCCATCGTCATCGCGTCCATTGTCACGGTGTTGGCGACCGTCAATGTGATGGTGACGTCACTGTGATGATCATGATGATGATCACTGCCATGATCATCTTCACGATGATGGTCGATATCATCATCATCATGCTCATGATGATGATGCTGCTCATGATGATGATTATGATGATGCTGATCTATCCCCACTTTGCCCCCTCAGACTCCTAGTGAAAATTCGCTGCCGGGGCGGGACAGGGCTGGTCGGAGTTCAGGATTATCAGTAAGATGATATGCGCAAATTCGGATCAATCAAAGCCCGACCATACAATCTCCGTAGCCATTTTGGCTCAAGCCGACCCTTTGACTCAAGGGGTCACGCAGTTGTTTCGGATCCCTACTATTACTAGAGCGATTCGTTGAGATGGGGTGCTGCGCAACCACGGCGAACAAGACTGGCCTGGGGAGCGTTTCCATCATCGGCGCAGCTGGAGTTGACGGTGCTTCAAGGTATTACGATGCCGAGCATATCTTTGAGGCGTCGACGAGGGAAGTGTGTGGGTATCACCTTGTGCAGCTTCTCCGCATGTCTTGGCTTCTGCAGCAGGCTGGTTGCAGGTTGAGGATGAGGCAGGAGAGTGTCTAGAGGAGGCCTTTCTGAGCGCTGAGGATATTCGTGCAGTCTGGCTGGCCGGTGGTTGCGGTGGCCGTGATTGTTTACTCCCTATAGTCACTATCTCGATCTGCTGGGACGCCATGCAGCACCCTGATCCGAATAGCATCTAGCTCAGCCAAGTCTGTGAGGCGTTGATAAACCAGCAGCGGCTTTACCGGCAGTCGTGCCGGTCCTTCAAAGGATTCGAGGAGGCAGTGTGTTTTGGGATTTGAAGGTCGATGCTGCAGGGCGATTTCCCAGATAAGAAATGGAAGAAGCAGAACTTGTTGGCCAAGGGCATGTCGGAGAAGGAGGCTGGGAATGATAGTGGGAAGGTTTTCCGCACCTCGGACGAGGACGCGGCATTCAAGTACGTGCTTACAGAGACCATGGACCTCTGGTATGCCCACACTGTTACGACCGTGTTTCTGCACACACACACAGCACCCCGGAGAGCGAGGCGGCACCCGCCCTCACGGTTACAACGACTCCGGCTGGCCCACTTTCGAGCGGTGTTCCTCGGAGCTGATGAAACAGAGCAGGCTCTGGGATGCACAGTGGAGCTGCTGTTAGCGATCTCAGTCAGGGTGTGGCGACGCCAGCCGTGCGCAGATGGCCCGTTAGGCCAGACGACTTCGTCAAATTTGTGGAGTCGACGACCGTCACAAATAGCTCATATTTCAGTGTGCTAGAGACGGTGTATCGCAACCAAAGCGAGGCCATGCTCGGCAGCATCTGCGAGATGGACTTCGGCAGCAGTGGCATGTCGCAGATGATGGCTCCGACGCGTCAGGACGCCTTTCAGCTCGAAGTCTGTTTGCAGTAGTGCTCCAAAATCACGTCGCTACGACTCAACCGAGTGGGGTTCATTGGCGCGGCGATGCATGCGATGTGCCAGAGGCTGATCGGACAGTCGCTTCCTTCGTTGATCGAGCTCGTCCTTCACGACAATGCCCTGGGGGACGAAGGCGTGCTCGCTCTTGCGGGTGTGGCCTACGCGGGTGCCTTCGCAGCTTTCAAGGTTCTAGGCCTGCGCTCGACTGGCGTTGGCGATGCCGGGCTGGTAGCCCTGGCAGCGGCTACCTCGGGCGGCAGCGCTTTGGCAGAGTTGAGGGAGCTGCAGCTTTTCGACAACGTAGTGGGCAATGCTGGCGTGCAGGCGCTAGCAGGCGCTTCATTAGCCGGTGGCCTCGGCAAAATCCAGAAGCTGATGCTCTCATGCAACTGTGTCTAGGACTCAGGCGCCGAGGCGCTGGCCGGCGCGGTAATGGCTGGACATCTCGGGACGAAGGGCCATTTCGAGCTGAACATGTGCGGTAAAATGATCAGCGACTCTGGCATGAGAACCCTCGAGAGCGCGGGCCTCAGCATCGACTTTCTCCTGGTAGCGGCGCCGCCGGGGACACCAGTGCCGCCGCCGACGCCGGAGGCGATGGTCGACGAGGCGGCGCGCCAGGAGCAGCCAGGCAGAAGCCTCGGGCACAAATCCAGCAGCTCTAGGCAGGCCGACTCTGGAGACAGCAGCTTGCGCCGCATGTCTAGGCATGGAGGCGGCCCTCCATAGAGGGCGTCATTCGTTGAAGGTGCTGCGAATTCCGGGCCGTGGAGAGGTCGCCCTGCGCGTGGCACCACAGTGTCTGACGCGAAGCAGATGGCGTGGCGGCATCTGTCAGGAGGTGGTGGTCACGACCTGGAGGCGGCTCTTGGTGTCGAGGGGGCCCGCGCGGCTGGCGGACGCTGATCTGGTGATCGGCGTTCCTGGTGACTCCAGGCTTACACTGTCGAATTACTCGGAGCTGGAGGCGAACATCGAATATCCCTGCCCAGTTGTGGTGGAGCACCGCGGAGTCACTGCGGGGCAGCTGAAGGTCTCGTCAGGCTCCTCATGGGCGCACCTCCTGGAGGGGCAGGAGGCATGGTTCATGGATGATGGAACGCCCATCTTATGCACGAACATGAAATTCTGCCTGCTCAGCGACTGGGTCGTGAAGCCATCCACAGCGCTGAGATGTTGCAGTTTCGCTTTGTACATTACGCATTCAGCGAATACGCAGAGTCCGTCATGGTACGTTTCGCACGCTTTCTCTCAAGGCGTGTCTTCGTTTGTGGATTGTGGTTGCCGCCACGCTGAGGTTCGCTGTCTCAGGGATGTTTGTTCGTTCCGGGTTTGGGCCTTGTCGCGTAATTTCCATGCTCCTTCCGTCGAAGCCAGCGCAGAATGGGAGCATTGTGCCTTTCAGAATGCAATGGCGCAGCGTGTAGGGATACTCCTTGTCCTGGACGAATTCTCAAAGCCTTTCCAGCGTGCTTGGTGCTGCTGGGAACTAGACGACCACAACAATGATTTGGGGCGTGGGCGAGAGACCCCCGCTGTTGCTGGACGTGGCCGCAAAGGAGGAGGCTTGGATGTAAGTGATCGCGGATGGTGTCACCGACAGGGACCAGCGCCTCTTCCCCGGGGTGGCGGGTTGGAGCAAGGGCTGTCGTGAGCGTGGATTCCCAATCAAGCTGGTCATGGAGGAGTGTTTGGTGCAAGGTCGTCTCGACTTGGGGTCGACTTCCACGAGCCGGCCCGATAACAATCTGTGCATTCTCAAGAGGATTTCGGCGATGCTGCCAGATCCAGAGGGGGCCCAGGATGGTGCCCAGGATCAGTTTGCTGCCTTCAATGCAAGAATCCGAGCCGTCTTTGCTGTGACATGCTGGCGCACGGTCTTGGAGCAGAATGCTTGGGATTATGTTATGTCAGACGCCCTGTATAACGACCCTGGCCGCAGGGATGTGTCAGTTTTTTTTTCGCGGGCTGTTCCTGCCTCAATGACCAGGGTCTGCACGACTTCATCTATTCGCTCCCGACCCAACTTGAGAGCCTCACGGTGGATGCCAGCTGGACTCCTCTGAGCATGCTCGAAGGCTTCCATCGCATAGCACAGGTGGCCCCACGCCTGTCTTACGTCCAGCTCAGCTTGGCGGGTTGCGGCACCGTGTGCAGCATCGAGGCGCTCTGCCACGGCCTGGCCAGCCTGACCGATCTGCGGGAGCTTGTGCTCTCGCTAGCTGGGTGCCAGGGCCTGCGGTCAATCCGTGGCCTGGGGGGAGACGATATCCGGCCTGGCAAGCTTGAGGAGCTTGACTCTCAATCTCGCGAGCTGCGTGGATCTTCAGGATGCGCGATGCGTGGGTTTATTTGTACAACTGCGCCTCGCTCCCGTGCGGACTCCAGCGTGCTTTCAATTCTGCATCCGCGCTTCTGCATCCCGTTGGAGTCGCAAATGAAAATCGGCAGGCGTTTCCCACGGCTGCGACATAGCTACATCTACCCAGCGCCTGCCAGGATCAGCTCAGCTTTTCCAGTCCAACGATACAGGCACAGCGCAGATGCTTGTGAGTTGCGACAGGGGCACTTACAGTTCACCATGCTCATGCGGTTGCACAGGCTAGGCTGCGCAGTGTACCATGCGAACGAAAGCAGGTACTGTTGGAAGCACAGCTGGATGTCGATATTTTGCCCTGTGTGGCAGCGAGTTCAGATGTGCGGCAGCGTGATGGCGCTGCTTCTGCTGGTTGCGGTCGCTGGTGCGCTCGAGAGCGGACGCATTTGGGCTGGGCTCGTCATGGGCGTCGCTTTCATCGGGTGCT